CTGGCTAAAGGGGCAACTCTGCTGAGGTGTTTGTGTCCTGCCCATCATGTGTCCTGCCCATCATGTGTCCTGCCCATCATGCTGAAGTCACCGGGAGCTAGAGTGAATTTTGTCCCTTCTTAGCTGCTATGAAGGTCAGAGTAGTAAGCACAAGGATCTGCCGGGGGCTTATTAGTGAAGAGCCATTAATTAATTACTGAAACCAGAGCGCTCACTAACATGGTTAGGCCGGACTGTCCGGCAAAGTCCACGAATCTCCGTGCCTTTGCCTCCCCAACGGAGATTGCAGGCTTGTCCTGCCATGCCTGGATTTTTATGTGGGTCCTGGGAACGGAACTCAGGTCCGCATGTTTGCAGGCCAAGCGCTTTATTGACTGAGCCGTTCCACCAGGCAACAATTACTACCTTTTTCTGTTTAATGGGAGAGAATGGTCAACATTAAAGGCAGCACAGTGACTAATTCTCTGGAGAGTGAGGAGAGCTGGTGAACTTGCGAATGACTTGTCTCAGATGCGTCTCAGTCTGGGTGGATGGGTGCATTGTTTAATACAACTACCGTTTAAACACACGCACATATGTGTCCTATACTGCTCTGTAGGGAGAAACAAGCCCTGAAATCATGCAATCAGTGGGTATTCTGGAGTGGATGCCTGAGTCATGCTGAGTCCTAAGTGGAAGACCCAGGGTAGAATTATCTTGATGCTGACAGAGAGAAGGAACCTCCCAACCACTTAGATATTACATTCTCCTAGGAAGTGTTTTCCCAACTTGCAGCGGCCTGCTTTTCAGGAGTTGAGTCATGGGAAACATCAGAAAAGATGTGGCTGTTTTTCAACCAACTGATGGACTGTTCATTGTTCTCTCCCTTAATTCAGATATTACAGGGGTATAGGGGAGGGGAGGGGAAGCCCCTAATTATAGGCAGTTGCTGATTCATAACTGTATTTTGCTCAGGATTATTTCCTCTACAAAGAAAATCTGTGGTATCTTTGCCTAGTGATATGGTGGTGCTGGCGTGTGCTGTGTATTAACTCTCTAGATTATTTTATATGACCTCTAGTTGAAGGCTCAGGCCTTTGGAGAAGCTTCCTTAGCCAGCTCTGGCTATACACAGACTGCTTGATGGTTTTAGCGGACACACTCAGCTCATGGCCATGGCTTTGGAATACCCAACTCTTGTGGGATCCAAACAACCTACTGTGGTTAGCGGTAACTGAGCAGAGTCTGGGACCTAACCTCTGAACTAGTCCAGACTCCGTAGGTAACATGTGGCAGAAACTCAATACATAGGTTTATATAGAAAAATAATTTTACAGGTGCTCTTAGTTGCATAGCACTGAAGGGGATTCAGGCAGAGTGAGCTATGAATATATAATAGAATAATGACATCATAGCAACACCACCAGAGGCAGTTCCTGATTTTCAATTCTCTGCAATGGGCAGTCTGGAACAGCTACAGGCTTGTATTTCACCTGCTTATCAAGTCCATTCCAAGTACTCTTGGGCTACCGTGGGATAGCTCGACACCACAGTGCTTGTTTATCACATGTGAGGGCTTGTGTTCCATCCCCAACAACAACAACAACAACAACAACAACAACAGCACACATAATAAAAAGAACAATTTCTCAACAATTCAGTGAAAGTCTAAGATTTTTGGCTAGGGTAATAGAGCAGGCACATTAACAGAAGAAAGTAGGTTGTAATATGTATATGTATGTATGTGTATATATATAAAATATCTATATCTATCTATTCTATCTAACTATTATCTATCTATCTATCTATCTATCTATCTATCTATCTATCTATTGAGAAAGAAGGTCTTAGGTACCTGGATATGAGCTTACACTATTTTTTTATTGAGACAGAGTTTCTCTGTATAACAACCCTGGCTGTCCTGGAACTCACTTTGTAGACCAGGCTGGCCATGAACTCACAGAGATGCACCTGCCTCTGCCTCCTGATGCTGGGATAAAAAGTGAGCACTGTGACACCTGGCTGAGCTTGCACTTCCGATTCTCCTGTTTCCACCTCCCAGTTGCTGACATTACAGACATGTCATCACACTCAGCTCTCTGGGATCCATTTGAAATAGCTGGTTCTTGAGCATATCTATTGTGGGTGGGATATTTGTTGTGTTACCGTATGTATATGCAGATTTTCAGTCCCTATCTAAGCATGTGGGGGACAGAAGGCAATAACAGATGTTTTCCTCTGTTGCTTTCACCCTTTACAAAAAGTATTTATTGGGAGCTGGAGAGATGGCTCAGAGGTTAAGAGCATTTCCTCTTCTTCCAAAGGTCCTGAGTTCAATTCCCAGCAACCACATGGCGGCTCACAACCATCTGTAATGAGGTCTGGTGCCCTCTTCTGGCCTGCAGGCATGTAGACAGAATATTTTATACATAATAAATAAATTAAAAAAGTATTTATTTGTGTGTGTTTGTGTGTGTGTGTGTATGTACTGGAAGCTAGAATAGGGTGTTTGATCACAGTTGTGAGCTGTTTGTGTGTGTGTGTGTGTGTGTGTGTATGTACTGGAAGCTAGAATAGGGTGTTTGATCACAGTTGTGAGCTGTCCGACATGGGTGCTGGAAACTGAACTCAGGTTTCCTGGAAAGATACGAAGTTCTCTTAGTGCTGATCCATCTCTCCAGACCTGCTGCCTTGCATTTTGAAGCAGGGTCTCTAATGAACCCAGAGCTCAGCATTTCAGCTAGATTAGCTGCCGCAAGCCTCCAGGGTCTGCCAGTCTCTGAGCCCCCAGTGCTAGGTTACAGGCATGCACTTGTTATAGAACAGTATTTTAAGATGTGTTACATTTGTTTATGCTGTGGAGCATTTGTTTGATGATGCAAAGAGATGCTTCTTTCCTTTATGAATATTTAACTTTGTGAAGCTGTACTGCTGTGCCTGTCTAAAACCCCTGATTGGTCTAATAAAGAGCTGAACAGTCAATAGCAAGGCTGAAGAAAGGATAGCGGGGCTGGGAGACAGAGAGAATAAACAGAAGAAGAAAAAGGGTAATGGGAAGCAAGAGGGATCGAGGTATGAGAGAATAAGGAGAGAGGACACCAGGAGCTAGCCACTCAGTTACACAGGCAGACATGGAGTAAGAAGTAAAGAAAGGCATACGGGGGGGGGGGGGGGGGGGGGGGGNATTCCCAGCATCCACATGGTGGCTCACAACCATCTGTAATGAGGTCTGGTGCCCTCTTCTAGCAGGCATATATGCAAACAGAATATTGTATCCAAAATAAATAAATAATTTTTTTTTTTAAAAAGAAAGGCATACGGAAATAGAGAAAGGTAAAAGCTCAGAGGCAAAAGGTAGGCAGGCTAATTTAAAACAAGCTAAGGCTGGGCATTTATAAATAATGTAAATAATAATAAGCCTCCATGTAAACCACATTTGGGAGCTGGCGGTGGACCTGCCAAAGAGTAAAGAGTCAAAAAGAGTAGAAGCAATCAACTACATGTACCCCTGGTTTTCTGGGTGCTAGGGATCCCAAGCTAGATCCTCGTGTATGTGTGCAGTGGGCACGTTACCCACTGAGTCATCTCCTATAATTAATTTTCAAATACCAATATGTTTGAAAGGATAGATTAAACATCTCATTTATACCAACAATCATGATTTTCTGACCTAGATGTATTTTGTGTATTTCCATCCTTACTGAAAAATACGCTTTAGAAAGTCCAGGTTTCTAATTTAAATCAGGAATTCTTTCTCTTTTAATTTATTATTGTTATTGTTCTTGCTACTATTTTGAGGCAAGATCTTGCTGGGTAGCCCAGGCTGTCCTCAAACTCACTCTGTATAGCCTAGGGTGGTCTTGGTCTCACTCGGTCTTTGAAATGCAGAAATTGCAGATGTGTACCAATATGCCGGGTAATAAAATCCTCATGGATGGCAAATTTTTGGTGCTAGGGGTCAAAGCCAGGGCTTTACACGCCAGGCAAAGTGCTTTAGCATGGAGCTTCTCCCCAGCCCTCTGTCCTTGTAGTCCACAGAAGGACAACGAAGTCACTTCCAATGGGCTTACTTAAATAGATTTTAGAGCATAAATTAGTCAGACTTGGAGCCTTCAGTTCAGCTGGAGTCGTTGAAAGCTTGTGTAAAGTTTTCATATGGTGCAAAGTTGGCCCATTCCTTTTCCTTACCAAAGGTATTTCTAACACAGAACTTGGGGAAAAATGTGTTTTTAGGTCTAGGAGTTTGCTCCAAAGTTCTGCTCTTATTAAAGACACCCTTATGACTTCATACTGGGATATATACGGAGTATTATTTCTTCTCATTGTGGAGGGGCAAGATTTACTCTGGAGATGCCTGCCTGCCTGCCTTCCTTCCTTCCTTCCTTCCTACCTTCCTTCCTTCCTTCCTTCCTTCCTTCCTTCCTTTCTTTCTTTCTTTCTTTCTTTCTTTCTTTCTTTCTCCTGACTCCACCCTTTACTGGCTTTGTGGCTTTGTCAGCCACTCCGAGCTTCTCTGTGCTTCCATTTCTTCCTCTGCACAAGCTTCCTGCAGCCTGCACAAACTGAGGACAGTGCCTGGCACACAGTGAGCCCTTTATGACCTTGTGCCACCGTCGTCATTGAAAAAGCTCTCCGAGCGCATAACCATGGGCCTGTTTTACTTCTGATTCAGATGAAGCTCAGAGGGCAGAGGGCACATGCCCAGAGCTAAGCAGCTTGTTAAAAGTCGAATAGAAAGAGATGAGAGGAAGCCAAAGAGCTTTTCTCTTTAGATAGTTATCACCACGCTTCGCTGCAGACTCTGGGCTTGGGTACGGTCTGAGATCAAAGGCCCTCTTATGTGCAGTGACATTTCTGAGCACAGGGCTGAGTTATAAAACTCTTGAATGGGAGGCTTTTGGCACTTGGAACACAGCTTGGGATGTTAGGGCGGGTTTTTATGGAGACGATTCACGGAACTGCTGAGGCTGGTGGAGGAGAATCCAGACTGTTATGACTCATTTGTCTTTTTATTGCGCGGGACCAAGAGCTGTTGTTTCCTTTTAAGTCCCTCTGTGGAGCTGAGCTCCAGCTAAGGGCAAGATAACTCTTTCAGGAAGACAGTGGGGCTTCAGTGTCTGTGAACAGGAATAGTGCGCTGTGGGGCCCCGGGTCAAGTGTACTGGACAAGCACAGAGAGGATTTTTTTTTTTTTAAACCATGGGGCAGGATTTCTTTTGGAAACGAGAACATCTTTTAAGTATTTAACTTTAGACAGGCTTACTTTTCTTCTGTTGACCACTTTCTTTCACCGAAAGCCTAAGCCAATTGGGGTTGTGCGACAGAGAAAGGAGGCACGAGTATGTCTGGGCTGTCTCAATGGGGAAGCAGAAGAGGGCATTTGGAGTCCGGTTTGCCTGAGGTTCTGCTAGGCCTCTGAGAAGAAACCATGAGGAGGACTTTGGAACTAGAGGATGAGACCTAGTAAGATAGGCAGACATCTGAGTGCCCCCCAACTCCTGGTACTAAATCCAGTGTGTGATCTCCTTCCCTTGGGCTTGAGTTGGAACTCTGAGACGTGCTTTTCATGAATAAGACGAGGCAATCGAGATATCTGTGCTATGATTAGGTCACAAGAGGCTGCAATTTCTACCTTGTTAGGTATTCTTCTCTTGCTACCACGGTCTCATTCTTGTTCTTCCCATGCTTTTTGGTGTGCTCTGATGAAGGTAGATGCCATCATGGAGAGGCTTGATGACGAGGAACCAGTGATGACTTCTGGTCAACACATATCGAAACCCCATCACCTTCGACCCAACAGCATCCATGTCCTGAATCCTGTCAGTGACTGTGAGGTGAGTTTAGAAGTGCGTCTGCCCTGTCCCAGTTGGGCTTTGAAATGATGGTAGTCTAGGCTGTCACTTTGATTTCTGTCGTGTTGGGAGTCATTAAACAGAGGGCCCTAACTAAGTGGTATCTGACTTTATGATCGCTCCCCAACAATTCAGATAATAAATGTGTATTGTTTTAATCCGGTAAATTGAAATAATTTTTATTGCAGCATTAGAGAAATAAATGTGTGAGGCAAATACAATTTCAGATCTTATATCAAGAGATAAATAAAGATGTCCTCCAAATTCGGGGGTTTTGGATACTTTTGATGAGTTTGATTTTTGCTATGAAGAACATGACTGTTCAGATACAAGAGAAAAAAAGTGGCTGTTGGTTTCTGAGATACCCAAGATAATGTTAATTTTAGCCTCTAATTAAGACTCAGAGGAAGAGCTAGTACCAGAACCAGGTTTAAGTTGAGAGCCCTAACCAGGAGCTCAGGTTGCTATGGGGAGAAAAGTCCTTGGTAAAAAGGAAGCATTAAGAGTTGGGGAATTGGGGAGAGAGGGTGCATCTTCCTTTACAGTAGTTCTCACTTCACACTGGGAGGGGGGCTATGTGTGGTCAGAGGGAAAACAACCACAAAGAAAGAAAAGTTGTACCTCAGTAAACAAAAAGAATTTAGATGAATAATGCTCAACATGGAAGATTTGACAATATACAAAGATAAGATAAAAAATGACCACACACAATCCTAGTATCAGAAGGAATGGTGCTAACATTTAAAAAAAATGTTTTTTGTGGGGGTGCTGAGATGGGTTTAGCAGGTAAAGGCACTTGCCACCAACCCAGAAGACCTGAGTTTAACCTCCAGGACCCACAAGTGTAAGGAAAGAACCTACATTGCGTGTTGTCTTCTGATCTCCACATACATGGCCTGTGGTCACATGCACAAACTAAATAAATTTTAAAAGATGTAATAAAAATTTTCGCCAGGCAGTGGTGGTGTACTCCTTTAATCTCTGTACTTGGGAAGCAGAGGCAGGCAGATCTCTGAGTTTTGGTAACAGGCTGGTCTACAGAATTAGTTCCAGGACAGCCAGGGAAACCCTACCTCCACTCCCCCCAAAAGTAATACAATATTTTCATCTTCAATATATGTTTAATTTCTGTTTATTTTGCTTAATTTTTGAGGCATGGTCTCATTATATAGATCAGGCAGTCCTCAAACTCAAAACCCCGCCACCTCTTCCTCTAAATGTTGGGGCATAGATAAGCACTATCAAGCCTGGCTTCAGTCTTTGCACTGACTGGATTTGCGTGTCAGCTTGACATAAACCAGAGTCATCAGAGAAGAAGGAGTCTCAGTTGAGGAAAGGCCTCCAAGAGACCCAGCTGTAAGGCATTTCTCCGTTAGTGATCAGTGGGGGAGGACCCAGCCCATTGTGGGTGGTGCCAACCCCGGGCAGGTGGTCTGGGTTCTACAAGAAAGCAGGTTACTCACAGGAAAAGCTGGAAGCCAGAAGGGAAGTAGAAACACAGAAATATCCTCTACCGTGCAGTCTCATCAAGCATGAAATACCCCAGAGGAATCTGAAACCAGTGTGTAGGGGTGGTAACTATAGTAACAACAAACACAATCCCTCTATTCTTGGAGTGATTCGCTGCCCGACACTGGTGAGTGAATGAGAGAAGACAATGCCCGTTTTCTGGCGTGAGTGTTTATCTTGCTCTGCACCGTTCTACACACTCTCTACCAAAAATCGCAGGGAATAGGAAAGGTTTGGGGTTTGGGGACAAAGGGAATTGTCCTTTTGGGCAAAACATTTCTTAAAAAAAATGTTTGCAGGTGTTGTGGCGCACGCCTTTAATCCCAGCACTTGGGAGGCAGAGGCAGGCAGATCTCAGGGTTTGAGGACAGCCGGGTTTATAGAATGAGTGCTGAGGTAGCCAGAGCTACACAGAGAAGTCCTGTCTCAAAAAAAGGTTTTATTTATTTTTTTAATCCATGGAAAGGCAGCAGCATACGGGAGGCTCTGAGAAAAGAGCAGGTAAATGTGCCATTGAGGGGGGAGTTACAGTGTCCTCTTTCCCATTAGATTGACGTTTCAGAATTTATTATTTATGTGTAAGTGCATGAGCCTGCATGAGTCTCTGCACACCGCGTGAGTGCAGGAGTCCACAAGATCAGAAGAAGAGGTTGGAGTGATAGGTGTTTGTAAACTGCCATGAAGATGCCTGGAATTGAACTCAGGTCTTCTGGAAGACTAGAGAGGGCTCTTAACGGTGACTCACATCTCCAACCTTAAATCAGAGATCCCTTCTTATAGCTTTCAGAGGAAAGTGTGGTCTCTTTTCAAGAGATTGATAAGTATTGTGTAGTATCTGGTTGCAGTCAGACTGTTTCTGAATCAGCTATGAGGGAGGGGATATGAGGGAGGGGATATGAGGGAGGGGATATGAGGGTGGGAGATATGAGGGTGGGAGATATGATAGTGAGGAGGGCAAGAATTCAAAATAATGCTACTTTAGCTCTGGAAACCAAATCATTTTAATTTTAGGAATTTTCACTTTTCAATCAAAATACAGGAGCTTTACACAATGTCTTTGCCCTTGATAACAAAATATATAATAAAAAAACTCCAATTGTTAAATGAACAAGGGTGGGTGAGCCAGCTCAGCAGATAAAGGCACTTGCCATTAAACCCGGTGATCTGAGCTGTCCTCTTATTCCCACACATACACGGTGATACGTGAGCTTCCCAACAAATAACTAAATGCAATAAAAGATTTAAAACAGAATGAGCAAAACAGGACCAGATGTGTCGATACATTCTTGTAATCCCAACACTTGACAGGCAGAAACAGGACAGTTACCACACATTCAAGCTTAGTCCGGTCTACATAGTTGCAGGCCAGCCAGGGCTGCATAGTGAGACCCTGTTGGCACAAAGTAAACCAAACCAAAGAAAAGATACATAAATAAAACAAAAGGAAACTCCTTACTCCTTTGAGACTATTTGGGAATTAAAAATTCCATAATTAATACATTAGAGGCTCCAGTGGAAAATGTAAACAATATGCATGCATCGATGGGACAGTGTCAGTGGACGGATGACCTGTCATTTGTGTCTGAAATGTCCCCAACAGTCTCTTATTCTCCATGCTTGTTCCCCGGCTGGTGGTGCCATTTGGGGAAGCTGAGGGATTTTGGGAGCTGGCACTTGGTTGGTGGAAGCAACCAAGGAATGGGCATTTGAAAATGATGGCAGCCCCTGGTTCTAGTCTGTGTTTCTGCTTCCTGGTTAGTAACCATGCCAACAGACTGGGGGGTCACACTATTCCACCATGCCTTCCCATGAAACTCTGAATCCAGTCACAATAAATCATTCCTTCTTCAAGCTGTTTCTGCCTGTTACACTGGTCACAACACCATGAAAATGACCGATATAGACCAACAGAAGGAAGAATGGATTTGTTAGAATCGTCTCTTCTAGAAGTGACATCGTAAACAAGGCTGGGACAATACAATATAATGCACATGTTAATGAGAGAGTTTTCATGGGGCCTCACCCACAGACAAAGATCTACAGGCAGCTTATGACTGTTGGGAGAAGAAGAATTAGCCTCTCAGGAATGAGCCCATTATTGGCTGTCCAATGCAGAGGTCAGCCTAGAAATCATCTGTACACCACTAACAAAAATGGACTCAGTAGGCTGTATTTATATACATTTGTGCATATACATACATACATATGTATATATGCAATGATAATAATGAAAGAAAAGAGGGTATGAACTTGTGAGTAGTGAGAAAGGGGATGGTTTGAGAGAGGATAGGAGGGAGGGGCTCGAAAGAAGAAAGGGAGGAGGGAAGGTGAAAAGTTTTTGTACCCTGCTAAGTCTCTCTGCCGACACAACAATCCAAATCAGACCAAATCAAAGTGAATTAGAAAAAGCCCAGGTTTAATGGATACAATGCTCCCAGTTGGTGTTTTCCAGTCCCCCAGAGAGGAGATGGGAAAGGAAGACCAGAAAACCACATGCCTGTTTTCTGGGGGGCAGTTTAAACACACTGTAGGAGTGGTCTTGAGCTTCTCTGGGGGAGGGGTCATCATTTGGTGGACTTTCTGAGATGCAGCAGGGTTTGGAGAGAGGTGGGGGAGGGGTCTTGGGATGGAGCTTCCACCTGCACATTCCAGACTCTTTGGCTATATGCATGCCAGGGGCTGGGGTGAAGCTTCCACCCAAACAGGAGGTAGTGTAATTTTACTTCAATGAAAACACTAAAAAATAAATAAAAATTGTAAAACTAAAAAAAAAAAAGACAAAGTGATAGAGATGAAGAATTCTGTAATGAGCAGCTTGAGAGACATTACATTACTGAGGGAAAAATAAGTCAGCCTGAAGAGAAGGCAGTAGAGAGTATTCAGCACAGATATAAAGGGAAAATTCAAAGAGAAAAGGAAAACTCCCCAAAGCACATCAAAGATAGGGTCAGTATAAGATAATCTACTGTATGTATAAATGAAACGACACAGAGAGAGATGAGGACAAATTTGACTTCTTGTATTTTTTTTTTCTTTTGAGACAAGGTTTCTCTGTGTAGCCCTGGCCACCACCTGGCCCAAGTTCACTTCTTATTCCATTTTCTTTTTCTTCCTAGGAGTAACCATCGACCCTGTTATATGTACCATTTACATCCTTTTTGTTTTATTTAGTTATTTATTTTGAGACAGGGTTCCACTATGTAGATCAGGCTGGCCTTGAACTCACAGAGATCCACCTCCCTCTGTCTCCTGAGTGCTGGGATTTAGGGTATGTGTGCCACCATGCTTTTTAAATTTGGGAGTTTAATTTTTGAGATTAAAACATTTCATTTTATCTGTATTGGGCATTTTGCCCACATATATGTATGTGCACTGCTTGTGTGCCCATTGCCCATATCAGTCAGAAGAGGTTGTTGGATTCCCTGGAACTGGAGTTATAGATTGTTGTGAACTGGGTCCTGGAATGAACCTGA